TACTCTCAAAGGATAGATCATATAAGGATGCCACTAAACTATCAACCACCAAAGTTCCAACAGTTTGATGGTAAAGGAAATCCTCGTCAGCATGTTGCACACTTCATAGAAACTTGTAACAATGCTGGCACTTATGGTGATCTTATGGTGAAGCAGTTCGTTCGCTCTTTAAAGGGCAATGCCTTTGATTGGTACACAGACTTAGAGCTTGAGATGATTGATAATTGGGAGCAATTAGAACGTGAGTTCCTTAATCGCTTCTATAGCACTCGACGTGTGGTGAGTATGATTGAACTCACAAGTTCGCGCCAATGGAAAGATGAGCTTGTGATTGATTATATCCATAGGTGGAGAAATCTCAATCTCAATTGTAAAGAACGACTGTCCGAATCTTCAGCTCTTGACATGTGCATCCAAGGAATAAATTGGGGATTATGCTATATTTTTCAAGGCATTAAGCCTAAAACTTTTGAAGAATTAGCTACATGCGCTCATGACATGGAATTAAGCATGTCAACGGCTGGAAATCAGGGACCTCCAGTGCAAGAGCCAAGGAAGGGTAAGCAAGATGTCCGTAAAGGGGGCAAAGCTTTGGCAGATAAGGGTGAAGGAAAACAGTCTATGACTGTAAATACCAAACCCATCAAGGTGGCTACCAATTCAAAGAAAACCTAAGAAATGAAGCTTGATTCCCCACAAGATAAGAAGAAAGTGTCTTTGAAAGAAAGACAAGAGAAAAAGTATCATTTCCCTAACTCAGATATCGCAGAAATGTTGGAAGAACTTTTAAAAGCTAAAGTTCATTCAATTGCCATAGATGAAGTGATCGGAAGAAACTGATTGAGTAAATGAACCCAACTACTACAAATACCATCGTTTAATTAGTCACCCTATAGAAAAATGTTTTGTCTTAAAAGATAAAATCATGGGTTTATATCAAGATGGGAAAATTGAGTTTGAAGAAGAAACGACTACAACAAATGTAGCATTAGCAACTAGCATGCTTTATCCACTTAATGTGTGGAGCAAGATAAAGTTCGGATCCTTCGACTATATAATGTTGGCACCGAACGGAGAGAAGACATGCAACCCTCAAGATAATGGGGCCAAAGTTTATGGTTCTACAAGTCAAGAGCCAGACAATGAAGGATGGATCCTAGTTACTCATCGAAGAAGAGGAAAAAAAAGTCCTCCTAAGGACAAGCAAGCACCAAAAATATCCAAAATGGTGAAACAACCATCTAGGAAGATGATGCCAATAAAAAACATCAAGAAAAATAAGTATGGGCATGGTGCAAAGGCTTAGATGACCAATCACCTTGAATGATTTCATGCCAATGCAATTCAAAAATCAAAAGCCAATTACCACATCATGTTTCCAAATTGATGAAGATGTTAGGGATGAAGAAAAAATTAAGTTTGATTCTAATTCTTCTTGTGCTGCAGAAATTACATTTTCTGATGAAGACTTGTTGTTAGGGTGTACCCCTCATAATCGGCCTCTTTTTGTTTAGGGATATAGTCATGAATAGAAGATCAATTGGATCCAAATAGATGATGGATCTGCTGTCAACTTACTCCCACTAAAA